TTCCAATACACTATTTTTCTCTTTATCCTCTTGAATTCCTACTTTATATTTCCCCCTGTTAAAATGAACAGCCCCAAATGTAGTGAGATAGTAGCTGTATTCTCAATATTATCCTTCTCCACTGCAAGAGGTCCTACATAACACACACAGTCACAAGTACCAAATAGGGCTTGTTTGTATATACTGTGATGTTTGTGTTACACAGCAGTCATTTTCTCCCTGTCTCAAGGCTGCTTCCTCTGATAAACTGCTGGTACATTGCCTGATTCACTCTTGGTTGATTAAGACTCAAGGACAGGCAAAACAACAAACCGGGTTCAATTACACTGCACTGCATCACACTGAAATCCAACACTGATCCTTTGTCCCCTCTGTCCAAAAATAAATCCAGACTAAAATAATACAGAGTGAAAAAAGAAAACAGAAAGTTAAAAGACGATGAAGGACAGGTAAGAGTGAGGTTGTTCACTGGACACAGATGAACTGTCTCAAAAAACGATTTGCCTTCTGTTACACGGGTAAGCATCGACATCAAATCTAATCTGCACGTACATTTCAATCAAAGGTGTTGTCTTTTCCACTGGTTGCAGCTTTACATTTGATTGAACTTAAAGGTGTTAGCTAATGGAAGCAGGTGCCTCTGGCCCATGGCTAACAGCTCCCTGCTCTTTCTAGAGCTGGTGCCCACGCCATCTCAGGATGGCTCTCAGGCTCGCAAAGCCTCTGCCAGGGAGGAATGTTGTGTGTGAGACGTGAATGTCAGACCCGTAATTTACTGTAGCAGACCAGCTGTCGGCTTCGGAGCAATGCTGCTACACAGAAAGATTAAAGCGATAATGCGTCTGTGAGCATGACAGTCTGGAATGCAAAACATCGTTGTTATTCTTTTGGAAATGATTAAGAAAGGGGATGAAAATAAACATTTTTTCCATTGCATTCTGCTGCTATCAAGGACAAATCTCACATTGCTTCAGCACTTTAGTTTTCAAGTCCTGAAAAGCAATAGGAGCAAATGCAGATAATAAACCAATAGTGTCTGTACTGGGCTAGGAGAGGTATTGAAAATGACTCCCATAACATACTTCTATGTGGTTGTAGTTCAGGTGGGTAGCTGCGTCAGCATGCGTAGGCTGCAAAGGAACAAGTAATAGGTTTATTCCATGCTGAAAAAAAAAGAAGAAAGAGAACACAACGTTTCGGCCGTGGAGCCTTCTTCAGGTGTGTTGACACCTGAAGAAGGCTCCACGGCCG